TGGGGTCGCCATGGGTCAGAATTGATTTGATGACAATTTTTTTCCCCTGATATTCTAAATGCAATGTTCTCTAAACTGTGCTTAACTAAATGTCAGCTGTCAAGGAAAATGTAAAAAGTGGACATCCATAGAAATTTTGCAACACTTTTATAGAACCAAAAGTACTTCTTATGTGAAGGAATTTTTTTTTGTTTTTTCATGCTGTGGGTAACGTATGTTTAGGAATAGGTGCAAATCATTATGATAATCCATAAAACTTTATATTGGAGCCTATCTGTCCTCTTTGTTTACTCATTAAATTGGGAAGCATACACCTACCCTCTTTATATGCTTTGTTTGTTTTTGTTTATTTTTGCTTTTTGGCTATCAGAATACTGTTTTGGGGTCTGAGTGATTACAGCAATGTGTTACTGAATGGTTTGTCTGATGACTATTGGACATAAGAAACATGTTTAAAATGAGTGTTTCATCTTACTTTTGAAAAATAAGTCTCAATAAATATGCATTTAGAATGGAATAAAAAGTGCATTTGGAAAATGGACTATGAAAACATTTTCCCATGTTTCTTCTTAAAATGTGGATATGGTATGTTTGTGATATAGCTCTGAAAAACCTAACGGCTCCCCACTGAAATATAAATTTCCAAACTCAGCTGAGGAATTTCACAGAACATAAACATCATGGCAGAGATAAAACATTTGTTTTCAAAGGAGATAGCTACATTGCCACGATGTTCTCTTCAAATTAATTTACATCTAATTCAGTGAATGGTGAAGTAAAACTGACATATTTAACTATCCAGTCAAAAATGCAAACATATTTTGTTTAGAAAAATAAATGAGCCACATGTGCAGAACATAAACAAAAAGGAACTCTGGATAGAGAGGCTGCTAATTTTCTCTCAGCCCAGAATTGTGTTGCTATGATTGTGACTTTTAATTTAGAATGATAATGGGTTGGACTTGATTAGATTTGAACGTTTGAAAAAGGTAGGAAGGATTTTTCTTCTTAGTGTGCACATGCTCTGAATCATAATCATAATATGCTGCCTGGACCTAAATACTTTAGTTCATTCAACCTAATCTTACATTTTAATGTACTTCACCCATGCTTATAGACTTCGAAATCATTAAGTAGATGGCTTCATAGATTTCTCATAGTGATGTGAGCAGACTGACTCAGTGAAGGTTTTGGATTTTAGCTATTATCATAATTGCTTAATACAAATTGCAGTATTTCTTTCTCTCTCTCCCTCTTTTTTTGCATATCCTATGCATTTAATTAAAGTTTTGTCTCCTCTTCAGTGACCTAGACTTTATAGAAAGAATTACATTGGCAGTGAACTGAATGATGTGTAAGAAAACAAATTCGTCCACACTTTTTTCCTTTAGGAGAATAGAAACGAACGCTGAAGTGGGGTAGATATATCCTGATGTGATATTTCCTATTTGCTCTGAAAGTCTTTTATTAAATAGATGTGATTTAAAAAAATGCCCTTGATATAATACTTTTTTTTTAAAAAAAAATAAAATGATACAGGGATATTATACAATGTTTGGAAGAGAATGTTACCTCCCTGTATATTATAACCATTTTGGTTTGTTCTTTCTTTTTTGTTGAAAGGTTTTAACCATTTTTTTTTTAAGTTTTTGGTTGAAAATTTTTATTCTAATTTAGTTGCAATCATGTTTTTCACTTATTTTATTATAAGCATTATTTATGATGTTCTTAGCCTTTATCAGTATCACTTTTTAATACCTATGTAATAATTATTAAAGACAGTAAGCATAGTTTATGTAGATGTTCCCTTATTGCCAGAAATTTAGGTTACTTCCATTTTTGCATATTACAAATAATACTGAAATTAGTATCTTTGCATGAAAATTCTGTTTTCTTGGTAGAGGTTCCCAGAAATGGAATTTTGAATTCAGGAGCATAAGCTGCCTAAATGGATCTGCAGCATAGTATATGTAGCATCATTTCTTGCCTCTACAGCTTTAAAGGAAAGGGTTGTAGGTTTTGGAAGAAATGAGAATGGATTTTATCTGGATCTGTCTAGTTTGAAATGAAGCCCTTATGGTGCAGTGGTTAAGAGCTCAGCTACTAACCAAAAGGTCAGCAGTTTGAATCCACCAGCCACTCCTTGGAAACCCTAAGAGGCAGTTCTACTCTGTCCTTTAGGGTTACTATGAGTCGAAGTCGACTCGATGGTGATGGGTTTGGTTTTTTCAGTTAGTTTGAGAGACCAGTGGGAAACTCAAGTGGAGCCATCCTGGAGACACTAAATATGTAGAGAAGGACTCAGACATAGGCCTGCCGTGGCATTGCTTAACTAGTAGCAAATGAGGAGAAATTTTAGAAAGAAAATTTAGAGATATATCTGAATATCTTGTCACAGTACAGGAAGACTCACAATTGTCTCTTTCTTTTCTTTCTTCTTCCCTGGCTCTTTCATCAAGTTTTATTCATTTATATGATAAAATAAAAGCAATTCAACCAAACTAAACTAAATCATGCAAAGATTAAATGAATGATAACCTCACCCTCATCCATTTTAGCATAAAAATTGAGGCTTAGAGCATATCCAGCAACATGGAGGAGATAAATCACACCACATAAACTGTTTTCCCATTTGCCTTATTATAAGGTATTTCATATTTTAAAAAAAAAAAAAAACCTGAAACAAGACAAACGTTTGTTCACCATAGGACTGACTCATGACACTACAATAGGATATATTGCAACTGTCTGTTCATGCAGTAAAACCTGTGAAAGCCAGAACTTGGGTAAGGCAGAAACCTGTCAGAGAAGGAAAACGCAAATATTTTCCACTAATAGGGAGTGATAAAAAAGTGTTAAGACTGTAGCCAGTCAAAGGCAGAGAAATTGCCAGACCCGGAAAAACTAGTAAATCCTGTTGAGTTTCATCTCTCACAGGTTTCAGTGTATATTTTTTCTTTAGAAAGCACAGAGTAGCATTCTCAAAAGGGACCATATCAAGATCTCTGACCTTCCTTTTTTCCTTCCCATTTCTTCTTTCCTCTCTCTCTTTTTTTTTTCCTTCCTCCCTTCTTTGCTTCCTTTCTTTAAGTCTCTTCCGTTTGCCCGGTCGTATCCTGGACTCTGAGAGTTCAGTCTTGACAGACAAGTCCTCTACTAGAGAGGATAGAGAATACATGAGGAAGATAATCAGATACACATGAACACTATGATAAAAGGCAACACGGTCATAAGAAGGAGAGTTACTGGAAGTGGGCTGGACAGGAAGCGCATCACTGAGGAGCGAATGTTTGAGCGCGTGGATGGTGTTTAGAACCATGGACTGCCTTAGATCCCTTAGAGAAAGCAAGTGAGGGTTGATGTGGAGATGGAAGTTTAGAAAATTCCTCTCAGTGAATGTTTCTTTGATGGAAACAAAGAGATGGAAATCTGAAGGTGATGTGGGTCTAAGAAGTGTGTGTGTATGTATAAATATACACACACACACGTATATAGTCACATATTTTAAAGGTAGGGAATATAGCAGTTGGATTGTTGATAGAAATGATCTAACAGTGAGAAAGACAAGACTGATGCAGGATATTGAAGGAGTAATTGAAGAAACAATGTACTTAAGACGAGCGGGATGGGGGTCAATGCACAGCTGGGAGGTTGTTCTGAGTAGGAGTGTAGCCACCTCATGTGCCGTCTCAGGAGGGCAACAGAGACCATGGGGACCTTGGTAGAGCTGAGGTGAAATATAAGGGGGCGCTTGTATGATGGATTTTATCTTCCCTGTGACATGTAAAGCAAGATAATCACCAGGAATTTATAGGAAGAGAAAAATGTAAGGAGGTGTTGGAGTTTTGAGGAGATAAAATATGAAGTAGTCATTTTTGAGGGTTGATGAGCTCATTTACTAAGGAATGGAGGAGAATTATTTGGGAATATTAAAGGCCCACTTTTGAATTTCTGGTCAAGAATTTAGAGTGTCACAAAATCAGTAGGGTATTGCATTTTTACCTGAATACAGCTCCACTGTATTTTGAATACCCATAGATTGAGAAAGACTTCATGACGGAAATTTCCTCAGCATTCAGTAAAGCTTTTAGCTTCAACTACAATTTGTCATTAACAGCAGAAGCATCATACATTTTAAGAGACTGACAGCATATATACATGCACATCATACTACTTATTTACCACTGACAACTCTTGGTACACACAGCTTTCTTTTTTTTTTTTCCTTGCTTGCCCCACTGGGATCTGAATATCATAATTTGGAACCAATGTTATCACGAACTGTTAAAGCATGAGGAGGGTATAGAAATTATGAAGTTTGGTGATTCTTCTACTTGATTACCAGAATCACCTAGGGAAACTTGAAAAAAAAAAAAAAAAAGCACTCCTGAGACCACTACAGATATATGAGCATAAGGGGGAGTGAGTTAAAGCTCAAGGATTTTGAAGTAGACAGTATTCTTCTACACGGCCCTCATCAGGCATGAAGAAATATTTATGCGTTAATTTTATAATTTTATATTTCACCATAAAAACCCTTTGCTGTCGAGTCTAACCTATAGCGACCCTATAGGACAGAGCAGAACTGCCCCAGAGGGTTTCCAGGGACTGGCTGGTGGATTCAAACTGCCGACCTTTTGGTTAGCCGCCGAGCTCTGAAACACTGCGCCACCAGGGATGATATTTCACCATAGCAGGCTATAAAGCAATGCTCTAATGAGAAGAAACTGATAAGAAAAACCATTGGCACAATGGTTATGAAAACATCCCATTCAAGACAGCTGAGATGTTAACTTAATAGAATATATGCGGTCAAGAACATATTCCATTGTCTCACTGTTTAATGCTATTTCTCTTACATTCTTAGGTTTCTAGATGTTGAAACAGTATTTAAATTCCTGGATTTTATACAGTATTGTGTGGTTGGCAACTGAATACCAGTCAGTAGTGAGTTTCTAAATTTTCTCCCATTCCTATGAAATATTTGTGATCCTTTCCAGTATACTTCTGCCCTGACCTACGATGCTGTGCAAGTGATGACTGAAGCTTTCCGCAATCTCAGGAAGCAGAGGATTGAAATCTCCCGAAGGGGCAACGCTGGAGACTGTCTGGCAAACCCAGCAGTCCCCTGGGGACAGGGGGTAGAAATAGAAAGGGCTCTCAAGCAGGTAAGTCACTCCAAATGACTATTAACACCACTTAACATGACTATTAATGTTTGTTTTTCTGAATTAGTCATCCTTGTTTTATTTCTAAAGCTTAATATAAATGGGACTTTATTTCCAACTACACAAAGGTAGGTGGCGGACTGAAAAGAAACCTTAAAATGTAGTTTTCTTGGCTTGAGCTCAGTGAGGGTTATCTGTACGGTTTGTATCTTTGGCTGAAGTAAACTTATAACTGTGTCGCTTTCCCACTTCCTTGTTAGGTTCAGGCTGAAGGTCTCTCAGGAAATATCAAGTTTGACCAGAATGGAAAACGAATAAACTATACGATCAACATCATGGAGCTCAAAACAAATGGGCCGCGGAAGGTAAACCCTTTATGATTTAGAGGTGGTTCTCTCTGTGTGAGGAGATGAGGTAGCTAATCAATCCTCTCTCTCTTCCACGGAGTCCTGGGGATTTATATTCACATAGATAGAGTTAATGCCTTCCAGAAACAGATACATTTTTTAAATTTTTTTCTAAATCTAAATATATTCAATTCTGGTAAATACCAAAGACGTATAATTTACGTTAAAAGTAGAACTGTTGTCACTATTAAAAACTGGGGTAGGGAAATAGTTTAAGAGAAATAAAGAGCTATTGTTGAAAGTTTATGGTTCAGAAGCCAAAAAATAACTAGGTTCAAATATGCTTGTCACTTTAAAATTCAACATCTTTCTTTTCATTACAGCCCAAATACTTGTATTTTGATTTTACTTGTATTTCTTCATGATCACATTCAAACAAACAAACATTGGAGTTTATGAAAAGTGAACATGAAGAATAAGCCATTTCTAAATTTTTTTTTAAATAATTCCTTTCTGTTAATAATAGGTTCTCATACATAAAAGACACGTCCCTGTTTAGAGGGTAGCAAAGTTGATTTGGGTGTAATTTTGGATTCAGATGTGAATTTGAAAATAGTTATATGCTTTGCTAAAGGAAGGATTATTTACCCCTGTGCCTACTTGCCACAACGTTTTGCAGATTGGATACTGGAGTGAAGTGGACAAAATGGTGGTTACACTTACCGAGCTCCCTTCTGGAAACGATACGTCTGGGCTTGAGAATAAGACTGTCGTTGTCACCACGATTTTGGTAAGTAGCTACACATGCCTGTTTTTGCTTCATTTTTTTCCTCATAAAAAAATTGGTAAGGAAAGATTCTTTTTATATGTTAAGACGCCCATTAACTAGTAAGTGCTGCTTTTGCAATATTTTAATCATTTGTTGCATATTTACTCTGACAAAAGGACTACACAAGCTCTAACTAAAATGTTTACAAGTTCCCTAGCCTCTTTAAGACTGCAGTTTAGCTTGACAGGTAATTCTTAACCACAGTAGATACACAGAGGAACAATTAGAGAAAGCCTTGAAGAATATTCCTCGCATTTCATCAGGTACTCTACCTCTCTATTCTCATAGCATTCTGGGTAAGTGTCTATCTTTACATCTGTGACACAGTTTAATAATGTCTGCATCCTTGAAGGCAAGGATGATCTACCTTCTTTTTACTCCAGGTCTCAACACAATGCTTGGCATATAGCTAGTGGGAAATAAAAACATTTGGAATGAATGAGGTATCCAAACTTTGGATAGATGGAAGACAGGAGTGGATCATCATGACATGCTGGTGGGGAAATGAAATAGAAAATATGGGGCAGACTGATAGGGCATAATTTTGTGACAAACTTTTGTTTTACCCTGAGGATTACTAAGTAGTGAGTAATTATATGGGAATAATATGGATAGATTAAAAAAGGGATTTGGATAAAAGCTTTGAAATATCTTAGTGAAAGGTAGCCATTTGAGATGATGCCTAAATCAGCTAAGACTAGTGGCATTGAGAGGAACTATTCACTTAGACCTCAAGTATCTTTGGTGTCACTTTCTTCTAGAAAATACTGGGCTAGACTGAATCATGTTCCCATGGCGTCTCTTTCTTATGTTTACAGGGTGAAGCTACTATCTAGCTATCCTTGTAACATCATTCTAGGACATTATATTTCTTAGATGATGCAAGGCTGGAGTCTAGGGGTAGGGTAGAATCAGCACATTACCTTAGCAATGATTCTTGCTGCCTGCTTATCGTTGGCCATGAGCCTGATTTGCACATGAACTTTATCCCCTAGATCAGCAATGGCACAAGGTTTTGAGTGAATGCTGGTTCTTGGGTTAAAATAAGGATGTAGAGGATCCAGAGTGGAATAACAGATGTTGTACAGCATTCTTCCTGTCTACCTGTTAGGAATTATAAACATGACAAGGGGGCATGTCAGCTGTCAGTGCTTTGGAGTGTGATGTTTATTCTGGTACAGCTAAGTTCAAGCCATTTTAATGCAATGTACTGATAGACACTTGAGGACTTTCTTCAGAAGCATGATGATTACATTTCCCCCTAATGTTGTCTACCATTTATTGTCTATCATGTCTCTGCCTAACAGGTAATTATTAAGTCAGGTTATATTCAATGAAAGGAAATAATTACGTACGTGGTGTAGTCAGCTAAAACTCTGTCTTTCCATATAGGAATCTCCATATGTTATGATGAAAAAAAATCATGAACTGCTTGAAGGCAATGAGCGCTATGAGGGCTACTGTGTTGACTTGGCTGCAGAAATCGCCAAGCATTGTGGGTTCAAGTACAAGTTGACAATTGTTGGGGATGGCAAGTATGGGGCCAGGGATGCTGACACAAAAATTTGGAATGGGATGGTTGGAGAACTTGTATATGGGGTAAGTATAGTGCTTTTCATGGATTAAGTCATTAAATTTGAAGCGTTGTTGACAGAATGCCTCCCCTCCCTGCAGAGAACCAATGTCTAACGTCATTGGTGTCCCACATTACTCTAGGAATACTATCTTATTTCCTTGTGAACATTTGAAAGATTAGAGGCTAAAGCCAGAAGTAAACATGCAGATTAATTCAGATAGGATGCATCTACCTTTCATCTACCTGAAAGCTTATGGGTCATATGTATTGTTCAAAGGCTGCGTAGAGATGTAATTATCATGGTCAAGCCAGATGGCCGTACTATGTGTTTCTAAAAAGGAGGGATATTTGGGGAATAATTTTTCTTACTTATTTTTCACTGGGACCCTATGATAATAATATTGTCATTTCCCTGATTTCTCCCATTTTCATCTAATTATGTAACCATGATTTCTTTCTGATCATGACGCCAGGTACTATTACCTCCCTCTGTTTCCCTTACAGAAAGCTGATATTGCAATTGCACCATTAACTATTACCCTTGTGAGAGAAGAGGTGATTGACTTCTCAAAGCCCTTTATGAGCCTCGGGATATCTATCATGATCAAGAAGCCTCAGAAGTCCAAACCGGGAGTGTTTTCATTTCTTGATCCTTTAGCCTATGAGATCTGGATGTGCATTGTTTTTGCCTACATTGGGGTCAGTGTAGTTTTATTCCTGGTCAGCAGATTTAGCCCCTACGAGTGGCACACTGAGGAGTTTGAAGATGGAAGAGAAACACAAAGTAGTGAATCAACTAATGAATTTGGGATTTTTAATAGTCTCTGGTTTTCCTTGGGTGCCTTTATGCAGCAAGGATGCGATATTTCGCCAAGGTTGGTTACTCACCTGCTTCAACTTTGTGCATTTTAAGTCTCAAGTGGATATCCGTGATGTTTATAAATTCACTCAAAGAAGTAACCAGCTGCCGACCGCCTGTCCAAGGAGTCCAGGACTCCGTAAAGGACACGCTCTTACCATAGGCATAAGTCTGTGAAATACTTGAACAACGTTTTCTGGATGTTGATCATGTATTTCCTGGGTGAAATTATACACACCATGGAAAGGCTATAAAATGCATAAGGTTCCTATCATTCCATGCCTTCTTGGAGGGGTACCGTGTTTTTGCTGCATATTCTCATTTTACAGTCATCTGTGTGGTAATCCACAGACCTGTATATGGGAAAATGGGCAATGTTATTTATTCTCTACAAAAGCAACAACTTGGTGGACAAAACTTCATTGGCACACATCCCGTCTGTTTTATTTTCCCATGATTAGCTCATGAAAATGGTATGGTAGAGTAATTATGAAATGTATTTTTTTCAAGGTTAGGTTGCTGGTTTAAAAGGAATGTATGATAATGTATTTTCTAAGTTTCTAGAAATACATTGTAGGGTATTAATAATGGCTAATTCATTGCAAAAGCTTGTGCTATATTGAATAGTAAAACACACACATCACACGGTAAATTCGTGTACTTCTCTATTCTCATTATGGTATGCTAATCACTGTACCTATTTAGAATGTATATGTCACAAAACCGACATGGCCTTTGTTCATTTTACGTACATGAGTAAGGAGGACAGCCATATCTGTGTCTTTTCTTCCCAGGAATAAGTCCTACCATTTCTGTCATGATTACTTCAACATTTACAGTGTTGATGGTTATCAGTCTGCTGGGACATTTTAATTTGGGCTCTGTTGCCCTTCTCAGATTCTATGAGATAGTGTAATAACTAGTGAAGGGGGGCATTCAAATATTATTTCATTACATCATTACTTTTTGAGCACTTTTAGGGATAACAGGTGATTAATTTCAGAAAATGACATGAGAAGATCAAACATTTTCAATATAGTCCCTCCACTGAGATAATGGAAATATATAGGCAGAAATTATCAATGACTTACTTCTTTGAGAGTAGGGCACTTTCTTTTTTCTTTTTCTTTTAATAAATTATATGGATCTAAAAAATCTTGGTTCCAACAGATTAACTATAGCTTCTTTATGAAACTACATCAAATTAGAAATATGCCAAGGTATTTGAAAAGCCTGTCTGTCTATCTATTTGCCTATCTAATCTCATTATGATGACTTTCAACAAAGTATTAAATTGATAGTTTCATCTGTATATTTAGTTTATCTGATTTCAGTTACAGACAGAAAGGGAGCTTTCTAATACTAAGGAGGAAAAATAAAAACCTAACCGAATTGAGGTCTCAGAGAATATTCTGGTCTATAAAATATTGATGAAATGAATCACCTTTGGCAAGAGGGTTGCTGACATATATATATAATGGTACTGTAATTCTGAGATGCAAAGCAGTTATCCTGGAGTGAAATCAGTTATGCTCTGCCATTTGGCTAAGTAGGGAGAAGTGTACAGGGTTCCTCGTAAAGTAGCCTGTATTGTTCCCGTGGATGGACCCTTAGTTCTGTTTGCTCCGCTCCTCATGCGTCAATGCACTGCAGGTAATTGTTTGGTATCCGGTGCTTGCCAAGGCGCGGGAAACATGACTGCATACAGGGAGTGGGGCACGGGGCACATTTAACAATCCAAGTGTTATCGCAGGGTCCACCATGACGTACAGACATCTAATTTTCAATAAGCCTGCTTCCTAAAATATGGCCTTTTTTCTCTGCATTTGGTGTCATTCATGTGTCATCATTCACTGCAATTTTACATGTAGTAACTTTTATTTTCTGGCAAGACAAACAGATTTTTAGATAAAATATTTTTTTGTTGCTATGAGTTGATTTTTTTTTTTTTTTTTGCCTCAGAATATATATGAGTGATATGTTAAAAAAATTTAAGGGTTATATATCTTTCTATCTTTGACTGTACGTTGTGTGTGCGTTTAAAAACTGAGGATAATAAACACTACTGACCAATTCAGAAATTTTTTTTAAGGAACCAGACCATCGTTTTTTAGAATTCAGTGTGGGTTATTCCAGTTTAGAAGAGCCGAGTAGCTTGTCGTTGAAAAACAAGCATGAAATGCACAGATCACATTAGAAACGCTGTTTAAAACTATTTAAAACTATTTATCTTTTCCAAGTAAAATATAATATGGAATGATATTAGCAGTATTAACAGAGCACATTTAAATTGTAATCTAGAATGATGTACTGAACTAATTGACTTAGTCATTTAGGTGAAATTAAGTTTAAAATATCTGACAGTTTTCTGAAGAATAAAACCACAGAAATTATAATAGCAATCGACTGTAAGGAAGATTGTTATTCACCTTCTTGCTTCTGTTTTTTTCCTCAATATCTTTTAAGGAATTGAGTAAATGTAAAAAGTGTATATAAATACCTGCCATTGTTATGGGATAAATACGTGTCTAAATAAGCGGTTTCCCAAATTTAAAATACACTTAATATCCTTCGCAGAATTAAGTGAAAGTGTTTAATTTTTTCTATCCTATCATATTTATTTTATTATTTGCATCCCTATCCCTTAGAGACTTTGTGATAAAGGCTATTAATTATATTCTCTTTTTTTCATTGCTATTCTCTCTCTCTCTCAGCAACCAAAGTTTTTATCTAAAGAACTTCTGAAGTAGTCCCTCTTCTTTTTATTGATTGCTCAAGTAGTTTATTCCATAAACATTTTCCCCAAAAGTTAGATATAGTACCTGTGTTTCATCAGAAGTTCATTCTCTCCTGTCAGTTGCCAGGAACTTTGATTTAGGTAGTAAATTACCATATTTTTGGTATTTGAATTTAAGAAATGTTACCTCTTCACTATAGCAAGACTAACTGTTAGGCATAGTAGTTATGGGATAAAGAAAATACTTATTTCATTGGCTGTTAATGTTACTCAAATGCCTTAATTATGTGCAGAGGCCGACCAGATCTTTCAAAATAATAGAATATATATATGCATGGAGCTCTGGTTGTGTAGTGGTGAAAGGGCTGATTGTTAACTGAAAGGTTGGCTGTTCAAACCCACCAGCCACTCTGTGGGAGAAAGATGTGGCAGTCTGCTTCCGTAAAGATTACAGCCTTGGAAATCGTATGGGCAGTTCTACTCTGTCCTATGAGGTCACTGTGAGTCGGACAACTCCATGGCAATGGGTTTTATATATATATATTTCCGTACCTACATATTTATATTTATCCAGACTTTTAAAGTAAATTATTTGGGAATTATTGGCTTTTGGAAAGTCTTTTATGTAAGAATTTATAGTCTTTAAAATTTTGTTGTTTATTATATTTCCAAGTAGGAATTTATATCTTGATAAATGTTAAACATGTCTGGTTTGCTTTTCTTGAGTTTTCTTTTTCTGGAGCAGGAGGGGACACAAGGAACACAATGACAGCAATCCACGCCCTGAAGCGTCAGCTTTTTGTTCACTAAGAATTATATTTTGTATCATACCTTTGTAGTATCATTTATTTTCTGTCCTACATTCTATCTGATACTTACGTTTTTGCACACACAAAAACAAAATGAAGTTTTGGGCCATTTTGAGAGTTTTGGAACTTTATTGGTTCAATGAAATGGAGGATTTCTTCCATGCTTAAAGTTAAAAAAGAAAAAAAAACTTTTAAAAGTAATTGATTTTATTTGTATATGTTGTATTGAGTTTGGATACTGATCTAAGATTCTCTTGTTCACATCTCCTTATGGCATAAGTGGATAAGTATTATCAGTATTGGATGGAATATTTGGAGAGTTCTTGAAATTGCTTCTTTACAGGACTTCATACCATAAACTATTTGGGCATTGTAACTGTGAAAGAATGCCGGGAATCTGCTCTTCGGCCTGTGTGTGCCATTAGATCTCGCTCATCTGTTCTCCTTGCCCAGAACGTTCAGTAAATTCTGGTTACATTAACTAGCAGATACGTGGAAATGTATAAAACGAAATTTTCCCCTGTAAGCCAAGATTTGCATAAAACTGCTAAACTGATTTTCTGTTAAGTCATTCATTTCACGTTACAAATGCATTTCATACTTGTTATTAGATCCCTGTCCGGCCGCATTGTTGGAGGTGTGTGGTGGTTCTTTACCCTGATCATAATCTCATCCTACACGGCTAATTTAGCCGCCTTCCTGACTGTAGAGAGGATGGTGTCTCCCATCGAAAGTGCTGAGGATCTTTCGAAGCAAACAGAAATTGCTTATGGGACACTAGACTCCGGCTCCACGAAAGAGTTTTTTAGGGTAAGAGATTTCTGCTTTTGTATCTTCTCATTTTGTTCTTAAAGTTTATCCTCTCTAAACTTTGTCCCTCCTTGTCCCTCTTAAAGCTACTATGTGAAAGTAACCATCTCTTTGCCTCTAATTCTCTCAGTTTCTGTCCCTGTCCCTTCCTGTTCCTCTCACTGTCCCTATTTTATCCCTGTCTCTATCCCTATTCTTAGCTCTATCTCTGTCCGTTTCCTAAGTCCTAACTCCTTATGAGAAAAACCATAAATGTTGCAATGAAATCACAGTTTTTGAAAAATTGATTGCCCTTTTGGAACAGAATAGAATTAAAGAAAAGTTTATATTATTTTTAAATAATAGGATGTTGTTTTTGTTTTCAAATAAGCATGACTTCGTCTAACTTACATAGTTTACAGTTGAAAAACTCACATTCAAACCATTAGGTTAATTCTGTGTAAGGAAACAGATTATGTTCACATGGGAAAATTTTGAATCTTCTGTGCAAACTCTTCAAAGGAAAAGCTAACTTTTAACTTCCTGACTTTCAAAATAGGTGCCATCATGATGATATGTCTATTAAGTGTGTGTTTTTTTTTAATTTGTGGCCTTTTGTTCTCTATTTATTGGATAAGCCAAGGGCCTAATGTTGAAATATTTTTCTTCCATTTTACTATTGTCTGTATGTAAGAATTCTTTCTATTAAAATGTTTAAATGGAGCTAAATAGCTTAGATCTCAAGCCAACATATATGACATATGACAATTTTTGATAATCCACACATGTATCCAAGTCTGTTTGGGTCTACGATACCCTAGAATTAGGATGAAGAACTCAAATTGAGCAAATGTTGAAGAAGAAATTATAATTTGAGGGCTGTTTCATGCTGCATTGCCTCTGGTCTGTTTTCCAAATAACTTTAGGTGGACTGAAGATGCAATAAGAGAAAAGGTGCTGGGGCAGAATCACAGCGTCGAGACATAATAACTTGGGTATATGTGGGACCTGCAAGATCTTAATGATTTCGTTAGGTATCTTTTAAGTTCAGATGTACGGTCAATCTGTCAGCAGTTTCTTAGACTTTAATGCAGTTCTAAGTACAAATGTTATAATACTGATTTGCTATTAATGACAATGTACGGTCACTTTTGGACACACATATGATATAGCATAGTGTTCTAGCTTGATCAAAGCAGTAAGTTTATTAAAATAAGTTACAATATTGCCTGGTTCCTCAGTGGAAGTGTATTTTGCAGTATTTTGATTACTTTGCACCTCAACATGACTTGCTTTTATCTTATGTGTATGCTTTGTTATTAGCGTTCTTCCCACTTGAAGTGAGATGTATGAGGGAGGCAGGAGCCTGTTATATCAGGGTTTACTTGGTGCCGCTTATGTTGATTAAAATAATCCTAATTGTTGCCAGTTAATTTCTTCTAGATGAGTACGCGTCTGTAAAGTTACTGTCTTTAGCTTGTGAGGCGCCCCGGTGGCACACTGGGTAAAACACTCGGCTGCTAACCAAAAGGTCAGCAGGTTGAAACTACCAGCTTCTCCGGGGGTGGGGGGGGAAGATGTGGCAGTCTGGTTCTGTAAAGATTTGCAGCCTTGGAAACCCTATGGGGCAGTTCTACCCTGTCCTATAAGGTTGGTATGAGTTGCAATGAACTCGACAGTAGTGGGATTTTTTATTCGGTTTTTAGATGACGATGAACTGTTGTTGTTGGATGCCCTCAAGTGAGTTTTTGACTCATAGTAACCGCATGTGACAGCCACTCTGCGTGAGAAAGGTGGGGCAGTCTGCTGCTATAAAGAGTACAGTCTTGGAAACCCTATGGAGCAGTTTTGCTTTGTCCTGTAGGGTTGCTGTGTGTCGGAATCAACTCGATGGCAATGGGTTCAGACAGCAATAATGCCAACTACTCTCTTTAGCACATTTACGTTTATAGAGCTTCTGTGTATAATTTAACTCAATCGGTCATAGAAACATTTGCCTAGATCACCAAGATTCCAGGGTCAGTGTGCTCCAATTCTCTAGTAGCCAACATGCGAAGACTAGATGACTCTGGGCAAAAAATGCAGTTCCTCTTGTGTTTCTTGTTTCACCTGCACTAAGCCTGAGGAAATCTTGGTGTTAGTATGCAATGTGTTCGGTGGCTACATACATGCTCCCATAGGAATTCATAGTGTGCCACTACCCTAGAGTAATAGAGGAGTATGGGGAGTATTTAGTCAAACTGATAGCTTCTATTAGTATGGCTTTCCAAAGCAGTTTGTTTTATATTATCTGTTTGAATCTCACACTGTTTCTATGCAATCATCAGGACAATGATTTTTGTTGGCATTCTATGCATTTGTAAATTGAAGCTCAGTGAAATTTGGGGCTTTGGCCAAATTCAGGCATTTTTACCAAGGTCTTTTCCTTCTAACTAGGGTTTTACTTCTAGCCAGGGTTCTTTTTATAGGCAGAGCAAGGTCTCTAGATTTATCTCACTGCTTCCGTGTTCTGTTCTTGATCCCATCCATGTTTACTTTTGTAGTGCTAGGGTTTGGTAACAGAGACAAGAAAGCAGGAAGGCTCCCTCCCTGCCCTTATCTTTAGAGCCCAAGTGAGCTAGATGTGCTGCATGCCTTACCCAAGGTAGAAGCTCAGGCAGGGCCAAGCAGTTCCTCTCAACATAAGTCCAGGAGGAAGTATTGATGACTTGACATAAGCTAGGTCTCGGTGCATATCAGGTTGCAGCCAACTTCTCCTTATTTAGCAAAGAAGAGTGTGGGCTCAAAAGTGTTTAAATGGCACACTTGTTCTTCCACTTGTACCAATAAAAAGAAGAAATAATCACATCACATATCACCAAGGTAAACAGTAGCGTTTCATGTCAATTGCTCCATTCAAATATATGACATGATTGCCATTTGGGAAATTACATACACCCAGGTTTGCTTCTTAAGGTGGATTAAGTGCAGAGGTGCTGCTGGTTCGTGCATAATTAGGAGAAATTTTGCTAACTGTATTAATGTTTGATAATTGTGTACCTTGATGATAAAGTAAGGAACAATCTTATTTTTGCTTCTTACTCCAAAAATGTTTTCTAGGACACTGTGGCTTCCCAGTGATACACATTAAGTCTCATATATTTTCACATAAAGCTGGTTACGTTAGTATAGGGAGATTGAATAATATATCCCCTCTCAGGCAAAGCGTGTTGTTTAAAATGTGCTGCAGCGAATAAGAGACACTTTAACATGAAGGAATAATTTATTTTCTAGATTTTAATGAAAATAAATGAACTTATGAGCATCTCTTACCTTCTTCCAAACTAATGGATGTTGTTCTTTGCTGGAAAAAGTTTACAGGAAAAAAAATGAACAAAAAAAGACAAAAATGTAGAGAATAAACGTGCTCAGAGAACAGTATGAACGCACAGGCCCCACTCACACACAGTAGCAAGGCAAAAGGAGGTGGAAGACGGAGCCTTCATCTGTGACTCTTCTTGGAACTATTTCCAGCTTTCACATCTGCACTTCCTCGTTTTGTGGTTGCAATACCGACAATTTTCAGATTCTGTCCAGGTCTCACAGGTTCCATCTGTCAGAGAATATTTATTAGACTGAAGTAATCATTTTAGTGGAAAATATTTGAGTTTTCTTTCTCTGACAGGTTTCTGCCTTTCGCAGATTCCGGCTTTCACAAGTTTTACTGTAATTTCTTCTCTCAGTAGAATAGGACAGATTGAATTCTGTAATTTTTGTGTAGAAAATGATTTTATAAGACATACATGTGTTTTATGTTCTTGTAGAAACTTGGGCTTTTAAGACAGGAAATGATTTTTGTATATAAAATCCTATCGCTGGCCTGTCAATTTATGAAACACAGTTATTAACTCACGGATAGTGAGTGCTTCTTCCTGTTTACCCTGAAATCCCTAGGTAGTACTCTGTTTATTTCATCTGGTCCTCTCCTCTGGAAGGATGAGGGACAGTGTATCCTCTGAATAAATGATCTACCTTGATGATACTAATAGGGAAAGAAGAGATTCTAAAACATTGTCAAAAGAAAAATATTTATCTTTTTATTTAATGAGGTTATATATTATAGATCATTTATTTTCTGAATAAATTTATCTCAGAAGATAAATTTAGCCCAAAAACTAATAATCGTGAATGTATGCTCTTGTGACCCAGCTGATGTAGACTTTTCATAGAGTTAACAAATAGTATAAATGACGTTTTATTAATACAGATGCTCCTTACATGAGTGAAAAAAAAAGTTTTAGATTCTTTTTCATATATATTTATGACATATATATAGTGAGAGAGACAGAGAGAACTCTGGTGATGCAATGGTTAAGTGCTTGGCTGCTAATTTGCTAATTAAAATGTTGATAGTTTAAACCCATCCATGAGCAGCTTTGAGAGAGAAAGACCTGGTGATCTGCTTCTGTAAGATTACAGCCTACAAAACCCTATGGGGCAGTTCTACTTTGTCACTGGGGTTGCTATGAGTCAAAAATTGCCTTGAAGGCACCTAAGAATAACAACTATATGTATAAATAATTGTTATTGTATACACACACATGCACAAACGTACACTCCACTTATCAACTGTCTCATTGTTTGACATTTTGCGTTTCCAACAATAGTAAAAAATCTGCTATCTGACTATTCTGCGCATTAATGACATACCTCTGACAGTAACAAACGCTGAAGCGTGAGGCACGATTAATGCTGGCTGTGTCGTCTCAGCTGGACCATGATTCTCGGTGGTTTGGCAGTTACGTTATACTGCAACTTGGCACTTACGTAATGATCCTCCATTTTGTGATCTTGTATGATCATCTTCCATTCTTGCATAATGCCAATTTTGGAACCTAACCACGTTAATAAGTGAGGAGTGTGTGTGTGTGTGTAATTTGCTATATAGTAATCATGATTGTCAAAGAACTATAACCATCCAGATTATAATTTTAAAGGCAGCACTCATTTTTCAACCCCCTCATTGGCATACGATTTATCTA